CTATTATTACGGTTAAGACAAATATAATTCAATCTTGCACACCTAAATCTATTGCCAATTGGCAATCATAATCGGCTGAAACATAAGGGAAGAAAGTTTAAACTATTGTCATTATTTGAATTTTAAAATCCACAACTCAAGAAATTAAGTTTAACTTTTACAAAAAAATATTACACTTTTAATATTATATTTATATTTTCATATTTAAAACTAAATACAAGAAAATACATGGATATATTATTGTAGCCGACAACCAATTTATAAAACAAACGATTTCAGCCTTAACTTGTTTGATTAGGCTGCTTAACCTAACTCTCATAAATCCGATAGTCAATGGAGAAATGTCAATTTAGAAAACTTTTTAAGCTGCTTGTCTGACGGAAGGGATTTCTATATTGATGTGGAAATCATTGACATTAACCATACTAAGGCTCATAATGCCAGAAAGGCAGTTCGTCATGTTTAACCTTCGTGACGGCCTCATTGGACCTTGAATTATAGATTAATTACAGGAGGCAGTCAGCTTGACGGGGGCCGAGAGGGGAAGATGATGTTTTAACAATAAAACCGTTTTCAAGGACTTGCCTGGCCACTGTCACTCGCTTAGGCACACGCATATGGACGAACCAGATACATATGTGTGTGAGTGTGTGTGTGTGTATGTGTGTGTGGCATCTACAGGTAGCCGCAGCAGCGATACCCCCTGTTTGCTTCGATTTTCTAACGAAATCGAAACTCTACACTGCAAGAGAGCTGCCGAGAGCAGCAGTCGACAGAGAAAAAGAGAGAGAGAGAGAGAGGGATAGAGAGAGAGGGTGGGGAAAGCGCAAAATGCGCTTCAGAAATGCATCGCACTGAAGCTTCATGGCAACGACACAAAAAATCTCTGTGCGCAATATTAGCAACATTTTTGGCTTACGTTTGTTTCGGCCTCCAGTTTGTTAGCCTTAATTACAAATTTTTCAGCTTACTGTTGTTAATAATTCATGACAAATATTTGGATGCACACATACACTCGCGCACACTAAGCCAAACACAGCGCGTAACTGACACGGCAACAAGAAAAACTGTTGTGTGCTTTTAGGCGCCCGCAGGACTAGCGCCTATCTCGACTGTCCTTTGCCAACTGAAGGCACGACACGAAAGTTTGTTAGCTTTAAAGCGCCGTCTAAAGGATTGCACTTGAAGCTTCCACTGTTGACCAAGTTTCGAGTCGCCTTCGTGTGCTGCTCGGCAGCTCGGGCTTGCATGTAGGCCAAAACAGAAACGAGCCTCCTTTTTATTGAATTTTTGCGCGCACGCATCAGTAGATAAGCTTTCAATGGCGCGGTAAATTGTAGGAGTACGTGCGGGTTGGCGGGGGTTGGGAGGCAGCGAAAGCTGAAGCGTATGCTTGCGGTAAATTGCAAGCCAACAAAGTTGTAAACAAATCATTAAAACCGTATCGAAAGCGCGGCCAATAATTTGTTGGAATGGTAACTTAGGTGAGCGGGTGTGTGTATGGTAAGCGTGGGTAAGCTTTTGTAAAAGCTTTTTGGCTTATGGCTTTTATCGAAACTAATAGTAAAATGAACTACTATTTTTTGTGATATTATCATAATCAAAAATTCTATTATAATATGACAATTATACATAAATTTGATCTTGTTCAAAGTAAACTTTTTTTAGTGTACCTATTTTATATTAATGTTTTAAAAAATTCTCACAATTATTGATAATTTCAAATTTTTAACAATTGCTAATGGAACGCTTTAAAAGCTCCTGTGTAGCGCAAGTGCACAGCTCTATGTAAACAACTATTTTGCAAAAAGCTTTTCGCTAGCTCATGCAACCCGTAACACATCAACAATGATAACAAACTTTGAGAATTGTCGAACAGAGCAATAAGAGCTTTTAACAAAGCAACAACAACAATAGCAGGAAAATAATTTGCGGGTATTTTTGTTTACTTGGCATTTTGTTTATACTGAGAGCAGTTGCTGCCGCTGCCGCTGCCGCTGCCGAGCCATTGTCGCTGTTTCAATGTTCGCTGAGAGTTAGGAAGTCTGTGCACACACACTCACATGATTCACAGGGGAAGATGCACATTGGACTAGGGTTGTTGGATACGGATACAGTCATATGGCTAAAATTGTTGTAGATTGTATTCAGGTAAGCGCATGCAGAGCGATAGGCGGACCAAAAACTAAAAAATTTTGAAAAATACCAACCAGAAATTAAATGAACAGGAAAAACTAATATACAATGATGTGGTTTTGTATGAATTATAAAAAATGTGTAAAAACATTTTAAAAGTACTTTAATCATATGGAAACTAGAATGTCGGTAAAAAAGAAATAAATAACTCTCTTAAGCAATATAACGTTAAAAAATAGTTTTTTGGAGAGTTTATTAAATGGTCATAATATTGATAAACATATTCACTCTAACATCTTAAAGTAATTCAATTATATTTTGTTGAAATGAGACCACAGTGAAGCACATTTTTGTTGGTCTGTCGTCGTTGGCTTCGTCGTTTCTGCTTTGTGTCTCTGTCTCTTTGCATTTTGTAGCGCGCAGTTGCCGTTGCTCTGCTGTTTTGTTTCTGCCTGTGTGTGCCTGTATATGTGCCTGTGTGTGTGTGTATTGTTTGTATTATTTGTTGTTCGCCAGCAACAACAACAATAAAAGTTGCGCTCTTGTTGTTGCCAGCTGTGTGCGTCGTTCGTGTGTGTGATTCTGTGTTCGAGAGAGAGAGAGGGAGAAAGAGAGCACCGTTTTGTGCGTTCTTCTCTGTTTGCTGTTGTCGTCGCACAGTGGAAAAAAACTGTAAACTGCAAAGGAAAACTCGTTTAAGGAAATGGAAGACATTTTTGGCCTTTGACTAAAACATTATCATGGAACCAAATATTTTTAAATCTAAGAAAAAAAAATTTATATAGGATAAGGTAAAGTAAGTCGTAAATGTAAATGAAGAGTACATGAGCATGCGTGCAAATTAAAATTCAGTGTAGAAATCATTATGTAGAAATAAAACAAATAAAATAATTCAAAAAGTTTTTTTTAATTAGCGTAAATATTATCATATGTTTTGTGTATCACAGGGTAAATAAATAAATTAGAAAAATATGTGTATTTCATTATTTAAATCATCCCCTTTCAATTCGTTTTATTAATAAAAAAATCCGATGTTGAGATGTACGCAGCATGCAATGTTAATGGCGCCCCACTGTACGTCGTGGTCGCTGCTTGCTTGCCTGCTGCTACTTCGACTGCTGCTGCTGCTGATTTTGTTGTTGTTGTTGTTGTGTTCTACTGTAGCTGATAGATACTGAGTATCTGAGTGTGTTTAGTCGCTTTCGTCGCTTGAAACGTGAAACATACGACAACTGAAAACGAAATTAAAATTGCAACTTTTTGTATGTTACGTCAGTCCGCCGCTGTTGTTGTCACAGTCGCAGTCGCTGTTGCAGTCGTCATCGCTGCCGTCGACGACGACATCGCTAAAGCAGCGGATTCTTTTGGCGCCGTTTTCAGTGCGGCACTGGCTTAAAAATAAGCGCGGTTTGAATTTATTTAAAAACGGTTTTTTAAACGTTGGCCCAGACGGAAACTGCAGAGTACAGGTAAAATAAACAAAATGTTCGAGTGAAAATGTTTTTGAAAAAATAAAATAAAAACCACCAGAACAACAACAAAAGCAATGCTTTGGCCAGATAAGCAACAACAATTCACCAACAAGAAAAATTCTATATGCCATAGTGTAACTGTTTGTGTGCCAGTGTGTTCTGTATGTGTGTGTGTGTGTGTGTGTGTGTTTGTGCCTTTTGTTGCTGCTGCTGCTGATGCTATAGCTGTTGTTGTTATTGTCGTTGCCGCCGCTGCTGCTGTTGTTGTTCTATCTAACAAAGTTATTGCCTTTGCCTTCGTTGCTGCTGCTGTCATTGGTCAGGAGGCAGCGGTTTGGGGAGGGGACAGCCGGGTATTTCTGCAAGTTTTGTGTGTGTTTTGTTAGCTTTAGAAATATTCTGTTTTTTTTTGTTTTTGTGTTTTCTTGTTTTGCACGTTGCTGTACTTTTGTGTGCTGTTGCTGTTTCTGTCGCTGTGTTGCTGTACAAATTTATATATATGTATATACATATAAATAAAAACATATGTATGTATGTACATATATACATACATACATACTCATAATCAAATAGAACAAATATGTACATACATACATATATACTAACATATGTACGTATTTTATGTGAATAGACAAATTACAATTAATATTGCTAGCTAGTTTATTGTTTGCCCTCTCTACTCGACGTATAAAAACAACACAGCTACAACAATAACCGTTGCGCAGGCGGTACAACAACAACAACAAAAATCAGCAAACAGCAGCAGCAAAAGTTACAACAACAAAGTCTGGCTGCTCTGCCGCGGCTGCGTCAGCGACGCTGGCAACTGTTAAAGGCGAACAAACAAAACTAACGAAAACAACAAAAACAAATGACGAATAATACAGAACATACGACAGCGACAGCAGCAGCAGCAATGGCAATAACAAAAGCAACGTCAACAGCAACTACAGCAACAACAACGATAACAACAACAGCCAGAACTGAAACACGCGCGCAGCGTAGAAGATGATAATGAAGTTGGCAATGTTGATAATAATGATGACGACAAAAACAACATAACAACTGTGCCACAGTGGGCTGAATATTTCGCATAATTATAAAATTCCGTATTGTGTTAAATATAATCTCATTTGACATTCATATATTTTATTTCCTTTAAAAAGTTTTCAATTTTTCGTCTGTTTTCTGAATTTTAATTTTCCTATAAAAATATTGTTTTTCGCAAATATTAATAATCAACAGTTATTGTACTTTATTGAGCAATTTCATGCACTCAGGCCACTGTGCGCACGTTGCTTGTGTGCAAAACTGGTGGGCTTAACGCAAGGTGCTGAAAGTGGCGGGAAAATTTGTTAAAGATTTTAGCGACAGCCACAACTGAGAGAGAGAGAGAGAGAGAGAGAGGCGGTACGATTTAAGGAGATAGAGAGCAGTGTACAGAGAGAGGGAGAGGTAGTGCAACACTGAGTGGGTTGATTAGAATCAAAACAGGTAGTCGCAGCAAGCAGCTGAGCAGTTGCAATAATAGTCAGCCAGGCAGTCGGTCGGTCTCAATAGGCATGCGAATCATTAAACGAATCATTTGGTGAGTGTATACGAATTGCTGTGAATAATAACTCAATAGCTGTCATTGCTTTTGCTGTTATCAAAACCGCGCAAATGGGCTCGAGTTTGTGTGTGTGTGTGTGTGTGACCAAGAATGGCAAGAACATGTTACAATAAAAACAAGTACAGCCAAATTGCCTGTTATTCTTATTTTACCTCTATGGCTGTTATTGTTGTTATTGTGGATATAATAATATGAAAAGCAAACAATGTTGCTAATGTCGTTGTCGTTGTCGTTGTCGTTGCTAACGTCGACCACAAATGTCACGAAAGCAAATACAACAATAAAAGCGGCCAGTGTTTTATTAGGTTTCACAAAATATACATAGTTATGACAACAACAGCAACAAAAATATCAACTGCAAAAAGCTCTCTGTCGTCGCCAGCTTCTGCTGCTGTTGCTGCTGCTTCTGTTGTTGCTGAGACAGCAGCAATACCAACACAGACGCAGCCCAAAGCCCTTTTTGAGTAAAGTAAACGTTTCGCTTGTTGTTCTGACTGCCAGCAACAACAATAACAACAGCAGAGTTGCTGCTGGGTATTGCATTCGCTGTTGTTATCAGTGTGACTAGCAGCAGCAACAACGACAGCACCAACACCTGCAGCAACAGCAAAAGCATTGCAACATTAAACAGCAAACTGATTGCAAATTCTGTAATTAACAGACTGCAACAACAACAGACAGTGGAACGAATATGACCACCTCAACGCCCAGCAGCAGCAATAGCACCACCAACCCCACCACCACCAATAACACCACCAGCAGCAGCAGCAGCAACAACAACGACAGCAACAATCGACAAGGCGACGTCGAGCGAGCAACCTCAGCGGCAACTTTGTACAACAGCAACAGCCCGACAGCAACATCAGCAACCATAGGATCAACAAATCGTGTCATGCAAGCGGACGAGGATTTCAACATACGATTCGTTAATTTGGTGCGCACGTATCGCTGTCTGTACGACAAGAAAGTGCCGGAGTATCGCAACAGGTGAGTTCACCACTTAGTGTTGGGAGCGTGAGTCGTGTAGTTATATCGTACCTATTTATATTGGAAGGATAATGTTGATAGCAGAGTAGCATCAGCTTAAGTTTATAATTTGTTAACCAACGATATAGTTTGTCACTCATTTTAGTTTTTTTTTAACATTACAGAGACAACCAGGAGAAAGCCTGGGCCCTTATATCAAAGGAGACGCGTGAGAGTGGTATGTTAAAAGCTATCAGTTATCTGTTTATCAAATTAGTTGACACATATTACCTCACATTTTAGTTATTCACTGCAAGGAGAGATGGAGGAATCTGCGTGCGTGCCTCTCGCGCTACATCAAACAGCAGAGCGGCTCCGAGCCGCAGCATAAACCTTATTATCTGACCGAGCACATGGCGTTCCTGCTGCCGTTCCTCAAGTCCTCGCGTAATTCACTGGATGGCAATAATAGTTTGGCTTCGCTCTACCAGTTCTCCCAGCAGCATCTGCATCTGCATCAGCAACAGCAGCATCAGCAGGAACATTTGTACTGCAACAACAACAACAACAACCACAGTGTACTAAATGAATCTTTGGAGCTTAAGCAGTCGCTATCTGAAAACGACGATGAGGAAACAATTGATGCTTTTGATCCTGCCATAGCCGCAACACTGGGTCTGCAGCGCGCTGCACCTACACCCGGATCCAATGTTATGGCAGTTCCCAGCTCGCCAGCCCACAGCGAGACGGCTAGCGCCAATAGCCTTCAGAATTTCATACCGGACGTGCAGCTGGCAGAGTCCGGCCCGGATTTGGTATACAACGATGCTTCCTCCACACCAGTGCATCATCAGCCGCCACATTCCCACAACCATGCGCTGCACGGCTATCACCATAAATTCCAACAGCTCCAACAGCAGCAGCAGCAGCTCCAACAGCAGCAGCAGCAGCAGCAGCAGGCGGCGCACTTCGAGCAAAGCGATGCCAAGAGAATCAAAACCGAGTGCGAGGCCACCACGACGAGCAGTGGCGTCGCTTACTTTGGCGGGCTCAGCGTCTCAGAGCACACGGACATGGAGTTCTTTCGCAGCATTCTGCCGGACATCGCAGCACTGACGCCGCAGCAGCGTCGCAAGTTCAAAATTGGCATTCTTGAGCTCATAGACGAGGTCGTAGAGCGCTACCCATCCCAGGAGCGTTACAGTGGCGGTGTGCTCAACGGCAGTGGTGGCACCAGCAGCGGCAGTGTTGTTGGCGCTGGCGGTGGAGGTGGCAGTGCCTCAGCAAGCAACAGTGCTTCCGGGAGGCAGCAGCGTCGCAATTCTGGACGGGATTGGCGCAAGTAAACAAAAATCCTTATATCTAAATATAAGAAGTATAGTTAGGTATTCCATAAATGGTTGATGCCAAGAGTTGAGAAGCTTAAGCTTGGAAAGCCAAGAATAATAGCAAAGCAAATACCGAAATGAAAAAAAATGATTATTTTTAAAATTGGATTATTTTTTAGAGAAAAGCCCAAGCTCAAGTGAATACTGCCTTGATTGGCTACTCACATTTCAAAATTTCTGAGGGTTTATTCCTTTGAAGCAAATATTTATATGAATGGTAGAGTTCTCCAATACTTATTATCCTCAAATAGGCAAATCAAAAATTGCCATAATTTTTCAATTCAAGTAACGAAATTTAACCTTTTTAAGACATCTAGGACTTGATTTTATGTTTTTCGAAGTCTGAGTGGAAATAACTTAATTTTCAAAAACTCAATGTGATCGTCACTTGAAAAATGAAAATTCTGTTAAAAACGCGTTACTTTCTTCTGCTTTCCATAATTAGCTTCACAACTCTTGAGCTATTCGCCGTTCAGTGTCCATGTGTCGTGTGCTCAATGTGTTATTTCTAAATATTAATTACCTAAAATGCGGCAGCTGATGCCGCAGGCTGTTGGCTGCTGTAATGCTAACTGTTGTTTATATAGAGAATTTAATATGTAAGCAGCTTTGTATATAGAAATGGATGTTATGCATAGTGCGTAATTAGGCTTAGCTATAAGATTGATGTACAAAATCGTTGCAGATTAGACTTAGGCAATCAGGAGCGAGAAATTCCTAAGCTCGCAAAACAGTCGTGTCAAAGAAATAAATGAATGTATGAAAATATTACATGATATAGTTTATTATAAAGCTGAAAACTTCAACAATTCATCAAAGAGCGGGGAGCGGGGGCAGTGGGGACTACTCCAAAGTATTTTGTTAGAGAAATGCATAAGATATAAGGCTACAAATTCACTTTAAAGCTATATTTCGTTTATTGTTGTCGTTTACAACTTTGAAGCGCCAGTCTTGGGATAGAATTTCTTTGATGGATCCTTGGCCATATCGAGCAGTGTTTGGGCTGGCTTGAATGGTGCGCCATACAGATCGGCGTAGGACTGCATTTTGCTGACCAACTTCCCAGCACCGTACTGGTCAACCCAGCGGAAGGGGCCGCCTGTGAATGGTGGGAAGCCCAGTCCAAATACGGCTCCCACATCACCCTCCAATGGGCTGTCTAGAATCTTCTCCTCCAGGCACAGAACTGCCTCGTTAACAAAGCGGGACACCATGCGCAGTGTCAGATCGTCAGGTGAATTGGCACCCTTGGACACCAGCGAATACTTTTGCTTAACAATCTCTAAAGCATCAGTATTCACTGGACGGCTTCCCTTGCTCTTGCCATCATACAAGAAAATGCCCTTGCCAGATTTGCGGCCCAGGAAACCGGCCAAAACTAGATCTTGCATGACCTCCAGATTGCCGCCACTGAAGCGGTCCCCGAACGATTTGGCCAAATCCACGGCAATGTGGGAGCCCACATCAATGCCCACCTCATCAGCCAGTGTGGCAGCGCCTACTGGGAAACCAAACTTCTTGGTGTACTGATCCAACTCCTTGGCATCCACGCCCTCTTGCAGCAGTCTAAGCGAAAGAACACGATTAACAATGAAATTGAGCTGGAAACCAAACCTAAGATTCACCTAATAGCCTCGGACAACATGGTAGCCAGAATGCGCGTCGTATAGAAGCCAGGACCATCGCCCACAGTGATCACTACTTTGCCCTGCTTGAGACCAACAGCCACAGCCTGGGCAACCGTGTCCTTGGAGGTGCCTGGATGCGTGATGATCTCCAGCAGCTGCATTTTGTCCACGGGCGAGAAGTAATGCATGCCCACCACTTTCTCGGGACGCGAACTGCCAGCTGCAATCTTTGTTATGGGAATGGCGCTGGTATTGGTGGCGATGATGCAATGCTCTGGCACCACAGCCTCCAGCTCCTTGATCACACGATGCTTAATCTCTATATTCTCAAAAACAGCCTCAATCACAATGTCGGCTGTCTTGAAGTCGTTGTAGTTTAGCGTGGGCAGCAAATTTGCGAGCGTCTGATCGCGTTCCAGTGCCGATATGCGCTTGCGCTTAATAGCCGTTTCCAGGCCCTTCTGAACTTGACCTATGCCGCGTGCTAGGCCCGCGTCGGTGGCATCTTTCATGACAACGTTGTAGCCCTTGTCTACGGAGACCTGCACAATGCCGGCGCCCATTAAACCAGCCCCTAGCACGCCCACAGTCTTCACAGGACGCTGGGGCTTACCGAAGCGATTCTTCTTGCACTCGGTCTGGCCACGGAAAAGTGCGATGAGGCCCTTTGATTCGGGTGTGGCCGAGAGCTCACCGAAGCCTTTGCGCTCCGCCTCGTAGCCAGCCTCGGCGCCCTTGTCCACACCAGCGCGAATCACTTCAAGGATCTGAGCAGTAAATGAGGAAAATGGCGGTTGCCCGTCATACAAATAATAGATAGAAAGATTGTAACCGGCTCACCTTGAGGGGCGCAGGATAGAGACCACCAGTGGCCTTCATCACTTGTTTGCGCGCTGTATCAAAGATTTTGTTCTTAACAAAATCTGTGTCCATTACGAGTGCTTGCAGCTTATTGGCCAAGCCCGTTTTCTCGCGGTTGATCTGTAAAAACAATCGCAATGATATCATTTCATATGTGTATCTCCGGATGGACAACTTACGCGCAGTTTACCGCTGGCCAAATCGTTGGCCACTTGCACAGCAGTTTTCTCCAGATACTCCATGGTGTTTTGTTCCGCGGGCTGTAGGCCAGGTCCAATGGGATCGACCAGCAAATCGACAATGCCCAAGCGCTTGGCCCGATCAGCACGCACCTGCTTGCCTGTCAGCTCCAGGTCCAACGCGGTGGGCACTGATGTCAGCTTCGGGAGACGCACAGTGCCGCCGCCGCCAGGCAGCAGACCCAGCATAACCTCCGGCGCACCCAGCTTCGTCTTGTTATCCTTGGTGGCAATGCGATAGTGACAGGCCAGCGCTAGCTCCAAGCCTCCGCCAAGGCAGACACCGCTGATGGCGGCCACAATGGGCTTGCGGCTGCGCTCCATGCGCTCGAACATCAGCTGAGCACCGTGCGAGATGAGGGCCGCTTCGTCGGCTGTCTGACATGCCTCCAGCATGCCAATATCGGCGCCAGCCACAAAGCAGCCCGGCTTTCCCGAAATAAGCACCGCCGAGTTGACCGAGGGGTTGGTCTCCAGATCCTTAATCACACGTTCGAACTCATCGCTTACCTCCCTGCCCAGCGAGTTGACCTTGGCATTGGGCGAGTCAAACTTAATGACCAGCACCCCATTGACCACTTTGGTGTGCAGGTGTTTGTTGACGCCTTCGGCAGCCGGGGCGAGCTTCGGCGCTGGATTTGTGGACATTAGACGACGCTGGAGTTGTGCAGCAGCAGGATATGCTGAAATTAATCAATTAATACTGTTCAGAGATTCCATAACAGCACATTTCATAGACAAGTTGAGACTTTGGCATTATCTCATACGGGGGAGTACAAAGGTCAAAGTCCAGTTATGCGGCAACCGCTGTCCAAGTGATTAACAATTCTATATTTCAATTAATCATGTATACTGCCTATACTGCAATGCATTTTCTTCCTGTTTTAAATATTATGTGCCTAATTTTTAATCTATTTTCGGATAATTACCTCTAGCGCATCTGTTCTGCAGCAATTGCTGTCTCGAAATTTGGCCGATTGCACTCAGAAATCTCGTTGCCGACATTACACAGCTTTTTGTTCGCAGATACTTTTATAAACTTATTATTAACTGTTGGTTATGCACTTTATGCTTGGTTAAAATTAAAAAGAATATTATAAAAACTGTTGTATAAAAACTATGTGGCAAATTAATAGACTTGTTGCACACTGCAAGTGCCGACAACGCTAGGCAGCCTATCAGTATCGATAACATAAATTAAAATTATTGCCCAACCGCCACAATTTACAGACGATTACCAATGTTATTCACTGGGAAAAGCGCTATTGACTCCTAGATGGCGCTTTCAGCTTACAATTTACAGACGACTACCAATGTTATTCACGGTGATAAGCGCTATTGACTCCTAGATGGCGCTTTCAGCTTATCTTATTTTGTTGAACCGTTTTTAAATCGAATCGTATTGCAACGCATTATTTGATTATATAATTTTTTAAACTATAAACATGCATTTATATTGACGTAATATATTTAAATATTATAGCCGTAACGTCTTTTTACATACTTACATACATACAAACATACATACAAACATACATACATACATACACACATACACACATACAGCCATACATACATATACACATACATACACACATACATACACACATACATACATACATACATACATACATACATACATACATACATACATACATAATTGTAGTTTTATACGTAGAAATACGTATTTTTCAAATTTGCAAGGTGTGTGAAGTAAAGCTTAGTATATGTATGTATATAAACATGCACACACACAAACATTCATATAAAACATGCGTATGCGCACAAGCACACATACACACAAACTAAATCTGCGTTTCACATGAGAGATCATATATACATAAACTATATACATATAATAGAATAAAATGACTTAAAAGCTGCATACATACATTCCTTCCTTATGTACATACGTATGTATGTATGTACATACAGCTATGCAGCTATTCATTGAACTCTGACTAATTGATGTCATGTTGAACGTTTGGCTTGATAAGCCCGCGGCTTTCGGAAGGTCGCTTGGTCGATTTGTGTGTCAAACTCAAGTGTGACTTTTCGGCTGACGTATCCTGTCAGGGGCATGTCCGTCAGGAATCGCAGCTGCAATGAGGCAAAGAACGATTAACTATTTAATTTATGATACGTGGCAAAAATGTTGCGACAATAAAACCCACAACCACAACAATGTGCCGAAATGCTCATCCGAAACCATTTAAAAGTGGCCACTTCAAAGGACACGACAAACGCCTCAGCACAAACGAGGCGCGCTTAATGTGCGGCTGAATGAGTCCTCGGCGCATGCGCAGAGCTGACCCGACCCGACCTGACCCAAACGACTCGAGCGCTTGCCCCGCGGCTGCGGGGTGGGTCAGCGTGAAAATTGCTCTAAAAAGAGACAAAAAATTAGGACTCAAAAGGGAATTTTCTTCTGCACGCCTCATTTATTAGTTGCGACTGCAAAAAGGTGAGATTTTAGATGACAATATTTATTTAGCTCCAATGAAATCAAATAACGCTTACCTATCGCATGCCTCGCGCTCTTCCTAAAGCGAATCGAATCCGAAAAGAATTCCTTTCTCTGGGAGAAACCTTGCAATCTCACCTAACTGCAAAGATTACAAAATTGGCTTAAGTTAAAAGAAAAGTTTCAATATTTTTTCTATATTATATCATATTCTATTGATTTCTATACTATCCTTTGCTTAATTCCTTTCTCATTCTCACAATGTTGGATAGCTGGGGGGAACCATCCAATATAACTGCAAAAATTACAAAATTGGCTTCAATTTAAAGAAAAGTTTCAATTTATTCAATATTCTATTGAGTTCTATATTATCCTTTGCTTAATAATACCTCGGCTATACTCACGAGGAGTTTCCTATGCATTTCCCACTCCACAACAATGAAAACCCTCTCGAAATGGTTTGCCACTTTATAGAGATATAAACACCTATTAGTTTTTTATAAGCCAGGAATCCCTAAATATTAAAATCGCGGCCGTGGTTTTTTATGCACAATTAAAGACCAGTTGCCTGTCAGGCGCCACTCAACTATTTAAAACTATAAACCCATTTTTTTTGTAGTTTGTGTTTTTTTCTCATGCTAAGCTGATTATAAATAATTGAAAAAAAGGAACGTATGCTAGGTGAAAGGGTTTGCCGAGCCTGACCCTAATGAGGGTTTGAGGGCGACCATAAACAAAACGCCCATTAGTTGTCATGTTGAGCGCGGCGCGGGACTCGGCGCGGGACTCGGAGCGGGGCTCGGCGCGTGCGACCTTCAAGGATATTCGCGGAAGGAAGTGCCGAGTGCGCTGAGAGAGATGACTTTGTTTCGGGCGATATTTGCATATATAATTCGAGAGCAGCTACCCCTGCGGGCAAAAATGAAAACATTTATAATGTTTTGATTTCATTTATGTTAATTTCCAGCCATAAATCACACAACAGCGTGTGCTTCCTGTCGTAATGTCCTTGTTGTTTGATTAGCCCCTTAAAAAAAAAAAATAAAAATAGAAATACAAATATATATCAAGCCCAGCCGTATGCAAATCCATCATTGCCCTGACTCTGTTTTGTTGTTATCCTTTGCTTTGGGTGCCGAGCATTATGCAAATTAGTTAACATTGATCCTTTCGCCTTTTGCTGCCTTTTGTAATTCAATATTCGCGTGAATTGCCCGAGTTGCCAAAAATGATCATTTTGCACTCTTCCATCTGGGGTTGAACTCGCGCGAATTTGCCAAACTAATTCGATATGCATATCCAACTCATAGAGCCAGCCAATTTGTTAATGAACATTTTCGCAACTAATATAGATGTCGAGGCCCAAATGAAGCAGACAAATTTTAGGTAATATTCATGATAGCAAGTTTTGAAATATGTTAACTAGGTTGAAGTTAGTTAAGGGAAGGTCGTTTAGATAACACTTGAATATTAAAAGCGAATGGTTTTTAGTTTTTCCTTTAAAGTGTCTTTAATATAATATAAATTTAACTTTATATAATACACAGCCCCATCAGAGAGAGGCTCCTCCGAAGGCTACTTCCCCTTCTTTTTAAAATAATCATATAATCATTGTAAATATCATATAAGCTACTCACTTCTAACTATACATTCTTACCTTATATACTCGCTTGGTAGAGATCAGAAGACACTGATCGATTCGAGCGCAAAATAAAACATATTTAAATGAAAAAAATGTGTTTGTAATCACAATTTTATGTGAGCTATTAGAAGAAGAAGGCTCCCACTTTGAAGTAATACGAAAGCATTTCCAAAGTGGAGAGAGGTCTGACACCACATACTTCAGCAAAAAGAAAAATTATAATTAATAACAATCATAAAGGATAAGAGGATAAGAAAAGAAGCTATCAACCAAACAATCTTAGACATTTTTGGCCACAATTCTTTTGATTCCATTTTGGGGATAATAAGTTGGGCTAGACTAAGTTTAACATGGCTTAATAGCACTGTAAAAACTGAAAATGGCTAAGAAGAATGTTTTAATCACATTATCATTTGAAAGGACGACCATTCTTTAAGCTAACCAACTCTATATAGGATTATATATTATATTGTTCAGTATGATATAGCTGCATCTGAATGCATGATATCTCATTCTGTAAATATTATAAAATCGATATGCTTAAATGTAGAGCAAAGTAGGCAGCGCCTTATTAGTTCATGAACTTGTCATAAATTCAAGATTAGCTTACGTGTGAGTCAATTTAGTGAAATCAGGTATATCTTGAAATCTTAACTTGTAAACGTAGTGACCCGGAAAATGTCAAGGTCCTGTTTGTATTGACTGCTTTGGATCAGTCTTAACTCTTAGCACTTCACATACAGACTCTGACATAGAACACGAGATACTATCAGAATAAAAATCGGAGTCCCGCAATGCCTCCGGTAAAGGAATCAAACTCACGCGGCCGTCGCTCCACATCGGAGCCATCGGATCGAAATGCGCGTATGCGACGTGCACCACGGAGTCATCCGGCCCAGCTGCCGGCGCTTGACGCCAGGCGGGAGCGGGGCCGATCCCGCGCTCCACGAAACGATATACCCGTTGCCAGGCAACGCTTGGGCTTGAGCCCACGGGAGGATGTGCACAGTGGACGGGTGCACCGTCGATCCGCTGGGTTGGGCAACAGAAGACCCCAGATGCTCACCTCGCAGGAGAGCCTGGAGATAATACACAATTATTTGTCCGATTGCGAGCGCAATATAGCCGAGTGCCAGGTGCAGCGCGGACAATTGGCCCAAATGGTGTCCCAGGTAATGGACCCGAGACTCCGATCGGCGCCCCTGCCAATGGAGTCAATCGACGAGGCGGCTGCGTTCCAGAACGCGATTAATCCAAATGGGCCTCAAGGTCCATTCGGAATTATGTCGGACAATGCCGCAATGGTTCCAGAGGATGCACAAGCTCAAAACGATTATCGACTTCGCCCCGATCTGCCGAACCTGATGAATGCCTTGCGATTCGTGGCGGACAACATGGGCGAGCAGCAGCAGCAGCAGGATTCTCTGAATGAACAGATGCGTCGTATGGAGGCGGTGGCTGCTGCTCCCGGCGATGAGCAGGTTCTGCTGGGACCGCCATTAGCCCCGCCTCCACTGGCCGAAGGCATCGATATGCTTGCTGCTGGGGATGGCTACCATGTGGTGCCCATCAATACGGTCCAGTTGAGCCGTTCGGCCGATAACATTTTTGCATTTGTTCTCGAGTTGAATGATAACCAAACAGAGGCGTCTGTGCCCCCAGCACCTGATGATAGCGATCAGGATTAGATGCTACTCCTTTAACCCATGACCAGCTAGATCCCCTGCTGCTCACGGGCACAGGGTGTAAATGTTTTGCGTTATCATTCAATCATTTAAATTATTTTGTTACTTTTCAAACAGGACACGAGTTACACAATCTAAAGAAATTCTTGAAATAAAGGCAGAGTTCCATGGCGTGTCCAATAAAACTGTATCTACTTTCATTCGACTTTTATATTATATATTTCTAAAAAAATTTTCTATTTATCTTTAATCTAATTGAAGAATTAAAATGGAATATAGTTTTTCATGTCATAAATAAAGTTGGAATTGAAAAGACAGCAAGAAAATGAGAAGAGCAATATACCTAAGTTCTAGTTATAATTTTGACATAAATAAAATACATTTAACAGAATCTATAAATGTGAACAGAAATCAATAAAAATGATATGATATGATGAAAATAAATTGGAAAACAAGCTCGTAATTTTATTGACAAATAATATTCTAAAAAACGGCCTTTGGCTCCACAGATTTTAATAAGAATTCAGCTAAAACACCAGTCGAACAGAAATGGCCAAAAGGGAGAGAAAAATCGATGGATAAAAAATTCCTATGCATAAGCGCAAGAAGCAATTCGTTAAATTCGAATTCGAACAAAGTGGCTCCAGAATGAGACGTAGATATGGAGAAAACGATTTAAATGTAAACATATATATTTATTATATATGTCCACTTTTGATATATACTTTCATACCTTTCAGCAGGTTTTCAGCAATTGTGTATTCTAATTAGGCTTTTAGCATTAAAATTTTTAAAAATTGATATATTTAATAATTAGGATTCATTTTCATACGATTCGTTTCCATATAAGGTCATTGAATGTTGATGAGATGTTGAATTTCGCATTTAATTTTTCTTTTCTCTTTCTTACAAAATCGGACTATCCAAGTGTCCTTTGGTTCACAGAATGAAAATCCTTTCAGTAACTTTATTTGGGGACCTACAGATGTTAATTTGAAATGCAATATACAAGATTTTGTTGTGTTCGTAGCAGCAGGCGAGAATATTGTAAGCGTCAGGCACATGTCAAGCTGTTGAGGTATACGAACTGTATAGAAAATATTTTATTTCATTTTAGGCTACAACAAAAGAAACACGAAAAGTGCCAACAAGAATATTCTAAGCAAAAATATTTAGTTTAGTTTAGTTTCTTTTTTTTTATAGCATTTCAGTTTTTATAGCATTTGTAGTAAGCGAAAAGCTTTTAAAATTGGGATGGCAAAGAGTCGAAGTACTGAGCCCAAAAAGGAAGCGGTACGCAGGTCCGTGAAAAGGCAGAGCAAGCCGAAGCAAAAGATATCCATACCAATGATCCTGAATTGCGATGGAAACATATCCGACCTGTTGCCATGGTTCGTAAAAGTCGTGGATCTGCTGAACAAGGATGGCCGGAAGAACGTGCGCAGCAAGTCCTCCGGGAGTCGGCGCAAGAAGGCGGCAAAGTTCAAGGAGCCTGCATTGTCAGAGGATATTGAGCTCCCTCAGCAGGAGGAGGCAGAGGCAGAGGCAGATGCAGAGTTGCTTGACAATGAGGCCGAGATGCCAGATGCAGCTCCACAGAAATCTCCAGCTGTTCGTCGCCAGATCTGTCGGAAAGCTGCCAGCGCCAGGACGCGTAAGCACCCGATCTTGCGGAGTAAGCGCCGTAATCTGGGACCTAAGCGAGTGCCTTTTAGGCCTCGTCCGAAGCGCAAGTCTTTGATTTCACCCCGATTTTTCAAGCCTACTTCAGATTCTCCGATGGGTTTCGTTCTCGCGGACATCCCAGCTATGGAGGATATGCCGTGCTCCGAGGAGCCACGCGTGGACTTGGCCTCCACTCCAAGCTTGGCATTGGCAATAGCCTCTGCCTCAGTTCCGACTGAAACTGAATTTCAATCTGTAGTCGCAGCTTCTGCTCCGCCCTCTTCAACAACCATTGCAATAAGCGACAGCCTAATGGCAATTTCAAATAGTTCCATCCTGGACGGAGCTGTCGCCAGGTTCAGCGCCAGGATGATGATGTTCCTCAGCGCGCAGCGCGCAGCTCTGGAGGCATTTAATGCAGTTGGAGACGGGCTGCACATCACGAGCAGAAATAGCGGCAATCCAATATCATATAATTTTCAGGATGCTTGGAATGAGGCGGTTAATCAAGAATCGAATTCCGAGCTCCAGCCCGGACTGCGTTGTGCACCAGATCTGACCATGGCCCATCTATGCCTGGCTGCATTCCCAAATGTGGATGCCTCATCCAGCACTGGCCACATTGAACAGCCCGCTGTTTCCAATACTCCCGAAGATAACGCCATATTCGATCATATACGGAATAGCTTGGGTGACATATGCTCACCAGAGTCCAGAGTAGAGCCCAATCCCTCCAACAGCTCCACCAACAGTGAACATAACAGTGGTAATGCAGCAAACTCTGCTGCCAATATCTTTAATCACATACGTTCGAACTTGAGGAGCCCTTGGCCGCAGGATAATCAGGACGACAACTCGCCATCTTTGATTTAAAGTGTTTCCGACTGATCAGAAATCATAAATTTATGCATTACTTTTGTCAAGGCATTTAAAAATAAACCTACTGATGTATGCGAATGATCAGCTTTATATAAAATGGGTTCGATTTTCACTTAACGTAGAGGGAGGTAGGCAATAAAAAAGCAAGGCCATAAATCTATGCCCTGAACCCCGAAATCTGGTAACTAAAATTGTATTCAGATTAAAAATAATTTAAAGCTACATACCTAAAAATTGATGGTTCACGGTTCGAACCACTTGAGGATTTTCAACATTCCAGATTTTTCTCGAATCTTAATTCAGGTTCTAAAAATCACGAATTTCCATTTATCCAAATTCGTTTATTTTACCTGAAATAAAATAAAATATTATTACTCATAAAATAAAAAATATATTTTTTTGGGAGACACTTTAAAATAAACACATACATTCGGATTCGTCAATAATTTATATAAGTATTTTGATTATTTTAAATGTCCGAAATATTGCTTTAAGCCAAACTAAATTATTAAAATAAGATTTAGTTGGGATTCGGTAAGAACTGGTTTGATCAATAAAAGCGAAAGTTTTCCCAATTTTTCAATTCTAAAATATGCCATGGTTCGAACCATTTGCTGATTTTCTACATTCCAGATTTTTCTAGAATCTAAATAATTCAGTTTATAATGATAACTAATTTTCATGCATCCAAATTCGTTGATTTTGCCTAAAATATAAACAAATTTTATTAGTAATAAAATTAAAAATATTTTTTTTTAAATTAAATTAAATTAAATTAAATTAAATTACGCTTTAAATTAAACACATACATTCGGATGCGCTATTATTAATTATATATGGTATTTTGATCAGTTTAAGTGTCCGAAATATTGTTTTAAGCCAAACTAAATTAATAAAATCAGTTTTTATTGGGATTCGGTAAGAACTTCCGGGTAAGAACTGCTTTGATCAATAAAAGTGGGCGAAAGTTTTCGCAATATTTCAATTCTAAAATATGTTTTTATTTTCAAAATTTTAATACAAAATTCATAAATAGGTGGGTGTTTCTCGCTTACGATAACTAACATACTAAATTACTTATATATGCACTTAAGTTAAAACTTTGGAATAGCTGGGAAACAAATGTTCTCAATGACTAAGAGCTAGAAACATGAAAGACAAATATAAAGACAAAAACCAACAAGCAAGGGGGTATGGATCATAACTTCGAGTGTGCGCAACTGGATGAGGCGAGAGATGTGGATCAACTAGAGACTAGAACAACGCTTGAGTGTTTCGATCGGGTGTGTGTGTGTGTGTGTGTTTTGGTGTGTGTGTGTCTTATCGAGATCGGGAGGATTAACAGAAAACTTCAACGCCCGACTCTAGTTGGCTAGTTGCGCTCTGGTAGGAGGCCGTTGCAGCAGTCGCGTCCATTTGGATATTCCACACATTGTCCACGCCCGTGTTGCTGTAATAGTAATCCGCCGTCTGGTGCTGCTGCTGCGACTGTTGCTGGTAGGAGACGGCGACGGCGGGTGATGCAATGAAGGATTGATGCTGCTGTTGCTGCTGCTGTTGCTGCTGCTGCTGCTGATAGGCGGTGGCCTCATCGTACAGCAGCTCCACGGTGGAGGGGCCACCGCCATTGATGTTCGGATCGAATACGCTGAAGATCTCCGAGTGGGGCGTGTAGAAGCCATCCGGACTGGCATTGGAGCTGGCGCTTACGTCCAGGCTCTGCGGCACGTAGCCATTGAAATAGCTGTAATCCTCGGAACTGTAGCCAGAGCTGCTGGTTAAGCTAGAGGTGTCATCGCAGCTCTCGTACAGGTTCATGCCCGCCTGGTAGCTAGACGCAGTCGTCGTCGTCGTCTGATCATAGCTGTTGGTCTGTGACAGAGTCTGCTGCTCCGGCGACAGCAAAATCTGTTGCTGCTGCTGGTGCTGTTGCTGTTGCGCCTCCGGGGCATTGTAGTAGCTGCCCGTGGAGCTGTTGGAGGAGAGCGGCGAGTGGAGCATGTCGTAGCCGTAGATGCCGCTGCTGTAACCCAGCGCGGCTGCATCTTGCTGATAGTAGCCCTCCGTGCTCCATTGAGGCGTCACGTAGCTGCTCTGCGCCGGATTGAAGATCGAGGAAGCGTTGTTTGTTGCGGTTCCCGGTGCTGTTGCATCTGTCGCATGGCCAGCGGCCTGGAAGCTCGCCATTAGCTCCGTGCCGGGCTGTTGCTGCAGCAGCTCCGCATTGGACGAGCGCTGCTTGCGTTTGCTGCCCTCCTGCAGCGGCAGCAGCTGCTGCGTCTTGGCCTGGCGCTTGTTGGTGCGCAGACTGCACAGCTTATCGCTGAGCGCTGCGTCCCGGGCCAGCATGACGGCCAGGCTGCGCACGCGCCTACCGCCCGCGAGCAGCCGGCGGGCCTCCGTGGACCCCTTGGCCTCGGGCCGCGCATGATCGTGTGTGCCCTTGGCCTGGAAGTAGATCGCGTTGCCGGCGCGCCGCCAGAAGTGTGTGACCGGATAGCCGCAATGGCCGCGGCACGGCTGTATCTCCAGGCGTCCATTGCAGTTTCTGATGAGCAAATAAAAATCGAAGTTAGAGTCGAGACTTTGAGCGGGTTCTTGGTGGCTGGCACTTACCTATTGGGACACTGTTTGCCCTGTTGCTTGCGGCGCGCCTTGTCGCATATGGCCGGGCGCAGATGGACGCTGGCTCCATTGGGCAGCTGGCACTTGGCGTTGCAGAGCAGCACGCCCAAACAGCTCTTCTTCAGTATGTTGACATTGTGGTTGTTGGTGTTCCGCATGGCCCAGCCGCTGGCGTGCTTCTTGGCGTCCTCGTTGTGCCCGGCATAGACCAGGCGACAGTGGCCGTTGGCCCAGTCGTTGAACTCGTCGAATTCGCTGACCGACGGCACAACCGTATCATTGATATCCCATTCGATTTGAATGCGCGACTTGCTCGCCGGCGGACTTGCCACCGGACTGGGCTGCGTCAGGGGCAGGGGCAGCGACAGGGGCAGGGCAGACATTGCACCGGCCATTTCGTTTAAGACCATTGTTTCGATAGTTAACTAAATTTTGGTTCTGTTCAGTTTTTTTTCAATATTTTGTGGTGTTTTCTTTCACACACACTGCACACTTTTTGTGGCTCTCGAATCTGGCGATTGTCTCGACTAGCGACTTGGTTGGTTTTGTTTTCCGGCGCGGCGTAGACGTCCGTTCACAACGGCTGCGCAATGTTGACTGTCTCTGGCTGTGCCGAACACCACATTAAGTTCCTTTTGACCGAAGCGGCGACCACGACGGCAGCGGCGCAGCGGTGGTTGTTTGCTCGCCTCGCACCGTTGCGCTCTCATTGGCTTGCTTTCCAGTTTATCGGGTTTATCCGGTTTATCCGTTTATTATCCGTGCGCCAGCTATCCGTCAGACACACACAGTCCAGCAGCACTCTCTTTCTCGCATTTCTACTGGAACTCTTTTACCGCACACACTAACTTTATGTGGGCACTCGTCATCCAGCCGTCGCTGTCGCCGTCGACGTCGTCGCCGGCGCTGGCTGTGCTCGGGTTTGATTGGACAGCCATTGACTCTGGCAGCTGGCGCTTTGTCGCTGGAGCTCTTGACTCTCAGTTCAGAGTCCAGAGCTGCTGTTGCGCTGCTCTAGCATTGGCACACCTGCGCCCCGATTGTCTCTGCCGCCCCCCAACCCCCTCTCCAACCTGGGCAGTAGCACGCGTCGACCGAAGGGGGGAGGCATCGCTGGGTATTTGTATTAAAGCAGGCAGTCAAAGCTAATTAAGTCTGGGCTCAAAGAAAAAAGTAACAACAATTGTGAATTACAACAGGCACCACCTGGTGACTGGCACTGCTACTGCGACAGGGCCAGGGAAGAGGGGCCAGTTGCAGGACCAGGACCTGGAGCATAGTCGCAGGCGCAGTAAGAGCAGCCACAGCCACAGCCACAGCCGCAGCAGATGTGCGATTGTGGTTTAGTTTTGTATTGAAGTTTGCGCTCAAAGCAGCGTTAAATATGAATGGAAATGCAGCTGGGGGGAATGTAGGGATAAGAAGGAAAAGTTTTGTATTTATATTCTAAAGGAAATGTTAAGAGAGTTATGGGTAGCCAACAATTCCGCTTACTCTGCCATAGCTAATTAAGCTAAAAGGTAACTACAATTAGGATGTGAATTAATGTGGGGCTACAAACGTAAACCTTTTCATGATATGATATATATTTGCATGATTTTAAAATTGTTTGAGTTATCAGAAATATTTATCTGTCTGCATTTGTAGAAAATTTAAAAGAAAGGGCACAGTTACATTGAATTCCTTATCTGTATTTTGTTAAACCTAAAATTTAGCATAATCCTATTTAATTTTTCCCTTAATTTTGATAAATTGTTAATATATGATGATAATACGAAACAATTTCTGCAGAATGCAGCCTCGACTAAATTTATTAAATATGTGCTGATATAATTTACATTATTTTCTGGCATACAATATATTTCCTAGTTGTTATCTATAAAATATGTATTCCTTTTCTTTAGTTTATTAAATGAGAATTAATATAAATATAAATGCGGAGCTAGAACTTTTACAGGAACTAACATTCTTTGTCATAGTCCTGCGCCCATCGAAACCTAACGGTGTAACTTCTCACGATCTTTCCAGCGATAGGCTTTAAACGATTGCAAAAAATACGCTGACGCTATCAACAGGAAAATCGGATAGGAACTTCCTCGCGCAAGATCATAAAATACAATTTAGCACGCAAAAAAAAGAAGAAGAAGTAGTAAAGCAACCCCCAGGACGAAAAGGATATATGAAAACCCAAGTCAAATGCCATAACTCAGGCATATGCCATAAAGTTAGCAAACAAATTTCTTTGGTCTCTCGGCGATCTTAAGCCAAAGATAAAGCAAACAAACATAATCATTAAGACTGAACGCTGAAATCTGAAGGGTTGTGCAAAGGCGACGGGTAAACCCCATAATTTTCACACTTCTCACACAAGAAGAAGAAAATCGTGCAATTATGACACATCACAAGCGAATGAATGAGCAACCCGCGGTGCCTGGCCTGGGACGAATGCTCGCTCAGAGATTGAGCACTGAGCACGCGATAGGACTTACTTACGACGGGACCTTAAAGGATTACACTACCGAAGGGTGCGGCTCAGGGGCGTTGACTCGAAAAGAAGTCATGACGTTGCATATTATGCGAAAGACCGAAGGAATTCACGTTTGAGATTGATAAACAGATCATCTATGTATGTGTTTGTGTGTGTGTGTGTGTGTGTGCCTACCTGGCTGGCAGTTGCAGTGAATGGCTGAAAAGTGGGTGTGGCCATTTAATGATGCCTCAAATTAACTGTTCCATTTCAATTACGATTACAATGCCAACATCAATTGCGACTTTTCACTCCAGTCAAATTTATTTGACATTCTCCCCGGGGTGGCGTCGACTAGCCGGAACTCTTTTTCCATTTTCGGCTTTTCCGTGACACAGCCATAAAATTGTAACCAAAAATTACGCATAAAAGTCATCGTAAATTCAGCAATTTCCCCGCTTAACTCGTGGGAAGTAATACCCAAAGGGATTTGCAGCGGTTTTGATATTTTACAGGCAATCGGATTTGTGTGCAATGGCAAGCTCTTGAAACTTGAAAACTATGTTAACTATAATAATATAATATAATTTATATATAATATAAAAGGAAATAGTATTTATGTTATTATATTACAATACTAGCAGAAAAGCTGTGCCAATAATATATATATAAATATTATTAAAAACATATAAATAAGAATACTTGAGTGTTAGGGCAATACATGATCATCCAAATAATATAGCATACGTAATCAAACCATTAAGGGGGCATTTAAATTTATGAGAATCGCATATAAAGGCAATATGTAAAAATTGCGGTGGGATCTATAAAGAAGTGAAGCAAACTTTGTCTGTGACTTTGTGTCGAGCCATACTGCTTAAAACATTTGCAAATATTATTTTTGAATGTAGAATATTTTTGATTTAAATTTGTTAACATGTAGAGTATTAAATATTCAAACTCACTCAACACTTGCTAATTTTCTTTCTACAAGTAACTCTCGCTTAACTTGTATGTAAAAATAACTTTCGCGGAATTTTGTTTGAGTCGGTTTCAATACATTCCTTCCATATATGTGTTAAGGTATGTATGTATACTATTTACTGCGGGTACTTTTAAGGGATACAAATATGTTAATGTATTTACCCATTTTTTAAACAAATATATATATGTATATATATGATTTTATCAGTAAAGTTATATACTAAACACAAAATTTGTTAAAAAGAGTTGGTTTAGTTAGTCACTAAGTCCTTTGACGTAAACATTACAAATCCATACGTATCTTGTGATTTATAAATTCCGGCTTAACAAATATTAATATAACTCTATCTCGAGAAGTGTTACCGAATGCTCGATCTTCTGATAAAATCATATATATATATTTTTCACATGAGTATGTGAGTTTGTTATCAATATTGAAGTCATTTTGTGTATTTTCGTTTTATAGCAACCTATTATTTTGGGGTAACTGTGCGATTACATGATCATTTATTTATATTAAGTACATTTTACCCTCTGGCATGTCCTGTTCTCTGCCTGCCTAGTTGTCGATAGAAATGCTTTCATGCTTTCCATGAGCTCGGGGCTTATCAAGCAACAAGCATCTAACAAACAGCCGAACAACAATTCGCAGCTAATTAACTGTACTTTTCACTTTTGGTACCAACTCTGTTGGCCGCAATTAAAACCGCATATAGGAAATCATTCATTTGGCAACGGCGACAACATGAAAATCGAAATAGCCAGAGATCCGATCTGTGCAGTCAGATAAGGCCAATGATGAACTTAGAACAACCCTCCCAGGCGGACTGATTGCTTGGGCCAGGATCATGGCGCATGGTAAATGATTTAAAGCAAGTCTCATAATTTTTCATTGTTCCTCTGGCATTTCCACAAACTGATAAATGGAACTCAAAACGTAAACGGCAACAACTATATAACTAACATACACACAAGATCGAGTCAAACTGATAATACCTTTCACACTCTGCGTGAGTCCGCTGGGTCCGCTGCGTCCTCTGCGTCCGTCCAGCGCCGCGAGTGTCCTGCGGTGCGGGGACGAGATCGCTGGCCCACGATTGCAGCCAGTGAGAATTGAAATGTTTCGGCACAGAGAGTATTCGAAATGGGACTGATCGCTGGGACAAGTGGCTGCTAAGTAGCTTGGCCAACTAATCCGATGTCCAAACAAATCGCCAGACGCTCGGGCTCGGTCAGGTGTTGTTGTCGATGTCGGTTAATGGGCTTAGGGCCTCCATTGTCCATTGTCCACTGGGCACAATTATTTTTGAAGGATTACGTGTGAAATATTTGTTAAATATTTTCATAATTTCCCACGCGCATATTTGTCTATTTTTTCTTCTTCTCTTTTTTTTGCATTTCTTTACGTTTGTTTCATTCAAATTGGTCTCGTGCATATTATTTGCTTTGGTTTTGTAGAAATTATGGCATTGAATTACATGCGCTTGGCGACGTGCATATACACAATTTCTCCCACAATTTGAAGGGCTCTATCGCCAACAGTTAGCTACCCGCATTGCTTAATCATAATGCGTTAGACTCACCGTCGACCTCTGAGAAATGCGATTTGAAATAGAGAACTGAACAGAAAGAGAGAGAGTGAAGAGAGCGAGAAAACGAGAGCGAGTACGCGAGAGATTAAGCGCGTGGCACTTACAGAAGCTGCTTCCAGTATTAGGCTGAGGCGTTAGGGAAACATCTCGAATTAGGTGTCTTAAGTAGAAAGTACTAAGAGGAATAACCATGTACCAACGCATTCTAGAGAATTTGGAAATTTTCAAAAATAATATACTCAGCTTTGAGAAACTGGCATTTTGAATTGTTGTTTAAGCAAATACTCAAGTTTAATTAACAGTTTAGTATGATTTAGTAAGAGGAAAATTTTATTTGTAT